TCATGTACTGTTTTTAGTCTTTTCTTCACAACAGCAATATGAAATAAAACCTATTATTATTCCATTACATGCATGAGGAAAGGTTAGAATAGCTGTGATTTTGGCAGGATTGTTATTGAGTTATTTTTATGCTACACATATATATGCATACTCCTTATGTGTATTATTCATAAGAAGGAAATAACAATAAATAGATAAAGTCAAAGTGCTAAAAGGGAGGGTTTTTTCCCTTAAGGGGGAAAAAAGAGGTGCACAAATGTCATGGTTCTATTTTAAATGCAGTAAAACTAGAAACAATGTAGTGATAAATATTTAAAAGTGTTATATACAATATTTTATTCTCCGATCAGAATAATGGGCAATGTTTTCATTGGAAAGATATGTTTAAAAAAATGGTAAGTAAAAAGACCTCACAAATTTATATCCACACTGACAGTTACAAAAATGTATCTGCATGGCACTTCACAACAAATATTTTTATCTCTATTCATGCAATGTTGAGAAGATAACAGTGCAGTCAGAATAAGAGTGCAGCAGGTGTGTTCTGGTGTGTTGGGTAATGGAAACAGTATATTTTAAGAAGACTGTAATTGAACTATAAAAATAATAAAGTAAAGGTGAATTGAAGGACACTCTGCAAAGTGGAACATCTATACTGCGTTAAATGTTCCAGAAGATCTTCAGGAATAAAATTAAGTTCCCTAGAAATGGAAAATCTCCCGGAGAAGCATTTCCCCAAAGTGCTTGGGTACATCATTGTTTATAAAGGTTAACAGGTGTTACCTGTAAATAAAAGCACAGAGAAGAAAATTTGGGAAATGCTAGTTTTATAAAAATTAAAGATTCTTCTGTGTGGGGTTCATTAGCATCTCTAACAAGCATATTCCAGGTGAGTGGGGTGGAAGCAGAATATTGAATGCATCATTCCATAGACTTGGTTGCCTGAGACCACAGAATTGTTTGCTTCTTATTACAGGAATAGCATTCTTTGAAATGTATATTAGGAAACATTGTGATGTTACTGGAGGTGTCCATGAACAAAGGTGAGGGTTGTGCATAGCAGGTTACTAAGCCATTCAGTAGCTTGAGGTAATAAGATAAAATTTATCTTAGCAGAAATAGTCCATGAGTGATGACTGGGAGTTTCCTGGAACCATACATATTTTCAGTTAATAATCCATGAAAATACATTCTACTCAATCTAAAAGTAATTTTTGTTTTTTAATATGAGAAGTATGCTGTATGGGAGAATAGTCAAACTTGAGAATGTATTTGATTTGGTCCTACTCTGTTAGGATAAAAGGTAGCATATAGCTCTTAACTGATTTTAAAGAATTGGCAGGTTATATTTCTATTTAAGTATAACCTGATGGAATTTTCCATAATCTTGTCTCCCACTCAGTCTTTACTAGCACTACCAAGGTCAAGGTTGCCAATAAACCTCTAAAGATGAGTAGATCAATGGCCACATTCTGTTTTCAGTTTAGTGTAGCACTTTGCACCTTCTGGCTCTGTTGTCTCTCATCTCTCCTGGAAACTGTCTTCTCTATTGGCTTCCATGACATTGCACTTGCATGGGCTTAGTCCTCTTAGACTGGTACTTGTCAATTCACTTTGCAGTTTCCTCTTCTACTGACTTCTGAATGTTTTGCACCCTGGGGCTCAGTTTTGCCTTCTTTTCTTTTTAGGTGATGTCCTTTAGTCTGTGACTCTTTCTACATGGTAATAATACCCCAATCTATTTTCTTTAACTAAACACTAAACGGGCTCAAGCCGTGGATATCTGCTTTATCCTTAACTGCATGTCAAATGATTTACACATCATCAAGTTTAATGTGTCCAAAATGAAATTTTTATTATCTCTACTTCCCAGCTTCTTTAGGAAAAAAAAAAAAATTCAATGCTGGGGATTGTACCCAGGGCAAGCCCATGTTAGGCGAGCACTCATTCACCAAGTTATATATCATTATATATGATATAATGATATATATCCTCAGTTCAACTTATTTCTTACTTACTCTTTGTATGTTAATGGTATTGCCATCTTTCCTGAATTTTTCTCTTCACTCTGACTCTTCCACTTTTTTTAGTTATACATGACAGTAGAATGTATATTTTGTTATTTTAAAAAAATGTTCTAATTAGTTATACACGACAGCAGATGTATTCCACTTTTATCTACCCTTCTGCTATTGTCATCAAAGCTAACATAATCTCTAACTGGAATTACTGCAATTTTCTTTTCCCTGATGCCTCCTCTACACACACACACACACCTTTTCCACTTCATTTTACTTTTCTACATGTCATCTTTTTGGAATATAATTCTCATCCTGACACACATTTTAAAGCTTTTTAATCGTCTTATTCATGGCTTACAGGGACCTACACAATTCTGTTCTTTTCCATTCTTTCCTACTTCATTTTGTACAGTGTCCTCCTTGCTCACTGTGCTTCAACCACACCAGCCCATTTATAGTCCCATCAATGTGTCATTACTCTTTATCTGGAGCGGATTCCAGCTTATCCTTTGCATAGCTGGCTCCTTCACTGACTGCCCATGGTAGACTTATGCCCCCATCCTCCCTACTTTGTCATTTCAAAGCACTGAATGAAATAAGAAAATGCAAGTGACTGAATTCTGAGCTGAAAATATCCACAGATGTAGAGTTTATTTTTACTCCTTCATATTTCTTGTAACTTCTTTTATTATATTCTGAATATAGTTAAACTCACAGTAGTCAGTGCTTCATTTTAATACATATTGATTCAGTCAGTGCTAGGGTAGAGATGAATACATTTGCAGTTCAGTGGAGTAGATATTACAATTAAGGCTTATACTAGGTAGTATATTAGTAGTAGTATAATACTAGTAGTATAATACTAGTAGATATTACAATTAAGGCTTATATCAGGCACACCAAATACAAAATGGTATTTTTTTAAGGGGTGGCTCTGAAGGGCTATGATTTGGGCTGGGTCTTGAAACATAGCCACCTTCATGAGGCAGTGGTAGAATATTCATATTAAAGTGCAGTGGGAACGAGATGTTAAGATAGGAGAGTATTACAGGTTACAGGTTATTTCACAAGTATATTATATTCCTAAGAGGGTGGATAGCCATTTGGTTCCTGAGTTTGAGTAGGCTGTAATAAAGAATAACATGGGAAACACAGGGTGTGAGACTATAGATTTGGCAAAACAGAACCTAAATAGAGAACCCTGCATTATGCTAAGGGTTCCACTTCAAACAGCCACTGGAAGATTTTAAGCAAAGAGCCATGGGATTAGTTTTTCAGAAAAAAAATTTATTATGGTGACAAGGTAAAGGAGCCATTTGGGGACTATGAAAATCATGGCAAAGAAGCAAGTTTAGAGGCTTAGTTTCTAGATAAGAAATAATGAGTGAATAGACAAGTGGAAGAGGGAGGAAAGGGAAATTCAGGAGATTTAAAAACCACAGGCACACACTGGTAGGAAGAGGAGAGATGATTTTCAGATTTCTTCTGGTCTGAGGAACCTATGTACATGGAAGTGCCGTCCACTAAAGGGAACTGCTGGTGAAGAATACCTTAACAAAAAAGATGGTCCCTTTTGAAATGTTTGAGTTTGAGGGTAATGGTAGGATACATATTCTGATAGGTATTCATGGTACTTACTAGAGATCTGCATCTATAACTCATGAGTAAGATCTGGGTTAGAAAAATACAACTCAGCCAAAAGCTATTAGTATATTTTGTAGTCAACATACAAGTAGTTAAAACGCCAGAGAGAAGCCACAGAGGGAGAAACACATCCAAGGATTGAACTCTAGGGAAGACACATATTTTAAGCAGATGTTAGTGAAAGACAAGGCTTACACAGTTGTAGGAAGATGATAGTGCTGACTTTAAAAAAGGAGAAGATAACCCAGAGGTACCATATGCCAGAGATCACCATGTTAATGATGAGGAAGTAATGGTCCCTCCTCCATCACAAGCTAACCCATTCTTGTGATGACAGACTGTACTCCCAACCCCATCTAATTGTTTTGAAAATATTTGGTCCTGAAGGGAAGGGATGAGTATGTATGACTAAATCAAATTGACTGCTATCTCTGGTAAAATCAATTCAGTATACCAATGTATTGGGAAGGTAGTATATTTTCATGTATACTAATAAACTATATTTCTTTTCTAAATACAATATAGATTTTAAAGCTCTATATTTAGTGAAATTTAATTGCCTATCACTGATAGTTTACAGTTGTTTTAAAGATAGCCTTTAATGGAATGTCTAGTACAATGGATACTGTAATTAAAGGAAGAGCATTTTTTATACATTTTGGTCCTTAGCTTTGATTAGGCTATGAAGGAAGGATGCACTTAAGTTAACTCAGAAAATACTGATTTAAACCAGGTGTAGTAGTGCACACCTGTAATCTCAGTGACTTGGGAGTCTGAGACAGGAGGAATGCAAGTTCAAGGCCAGCCTGGCTAATTTAGTGAGACCCTGTCTCAAAAAGGGTTGGGGATATAGCCCAGTGGTAGAGTATCCCTAGGTTCAATCCTCAGTATGGCAAAAAACAAAATTGATATGTAAAAGTCAAAATGCTGATTTGAAAAAAATTAGTGAAACATATAACTAAACAGACAAGGTATCCATGCCTATAGAAATGTATTGATTTCTATGAGAAAACAAAAAAGTTGAAATATAAACTCAGTGTTGTTTGGTAACTAATCTTACATCAGTGGTGGTGAGAAAAAACTTTTTTGCTTTTTTATCTTCAGGGTCTTAGTCTGGGTGCTATAAGTAAAATCAGTGAGGGTCTGTGACATAGAGACCAGAGACAAGTATGTATAACTGCAATAAGGACCTAACCATGTAGCTGAGGACAGTGACAAAGACTTGACAACATTATTTTTTCCTCTGAGGTAATTGGTATGAGGGATTATATGCTTCATGAAAATGGAGTTTGAAATGTACAGGAAGGCTATAATATTTTTTATTTGAACCTGCAGGTTCTCCTGAAAAGAAAGGTGAATATCCATCCATGAATCAAGAAAATAGCACCAGAAACCCTATCAAGAATGGAAAAGCAAGTCCAGTATCTAAAGATCAGCGGGTTGGAAAGAAAACCTCAGAGAATTTATCAGTACGGGGTCATGTACAAAAGGGGAATGATGACTCTGAAAGTGATTTTGAGTCAGATCCCCCTTCTCCTAAGAGTAGTGAAGAGGAAGAGCAAGACGATGAAGAAGTTCCTGGAGAACAAGGAGAGTGTAATGATGATGATACTGAACCAGAAAATCTGGGTCACAGGCCTCTCCTCATGGACTCTGAAGATGAGGAAGAAGAAGAGAAACACAGCTCTGATTCTGAGTATGAGCAGGCCAAAGCAAAGTATGGCAGCGTGAGCCCTGTCTACAGAGACAAATCTGGCAGTGGACCAACCCAAGATCCTAATGCAGCACTCCTCACCCTAACCCATGTATGCTCTGATGTTGGGAGGCAGACTCCCAAACAGGAATTTGATGTATTTGGTGCTGTTCCCTTCTTCGCAGTGCGTGCTCAACAGCCCCAGCAAGGACAGAATGAAAAGAACCTTTCTCGACAGATGTTTCCTACTGTGGGACTAGAGCAAGAGGAATTTGATGTCTTCACTAAAGCACCCTTCAGCAAGAAGGTGAATGTCCAGGACTGCCCTGTAGTGGGGTCTGAGGCACATGCTCTTCCTGGTTGTCCCAAAAGTGTAGATATATTTGGCTCCACTCCTTTTCAGCCTTTTCCTACATCAACAGGTAAAAGCGAAAGTAAGGAGGACCTTTTTGGGCTTGTGCCCTTTGAGGAGATAACCGGAAGTCAGCAGCAAAAAGTCAAACAGCGCAGCTTACAGAAATTGTCCTCTCGCCAGAGGCGCACAAAGCAGGATATGTCCAAAAGTAACGGGAAGCGGCATCACGGCACACCAACTAGCGTGAAGAAGACGTTGAAGCCTACCTACCGCACTCCAGAGAGGGCTCGCAGGCACAAGAAAGTGGGCCGTAGAGACTCTCAAAGCAGCAATGAATTTTTAACCATCTCAGACTCCAAAGAGAACATCAGTGTTGCACTGACTGATGGGAAAGACAGAGGGAGTGTCATACAACCAGAGGAGAGTCTGTTGGATCCCTTTGGTGCCAAGCCCTTCCATCCTCCAGACCTATCATGGCACCAGCCACATCAGGGCCTGAGTGACATCCGTGCTGATCACAATACTGTCCTGCCTGGGCGGCCAAGACAGAATTCACTACATGGGTCATTCCATAGTGCAGATGCGTTGAAAATGGATGACTTTGGTGCAGTGCCCTTTACAGAACTTGTGGTGCAAAGCATCCCGCCACATCAGTCCCAACAGTCCCAACCAGTTGAATTAGACCCATTTGGTGCTGCTCCATTTCCTTCTAAACAGTAGATACTTCAGATGGATTCTTGGCATTTATTCCTGTTTCAAAAAAGTATGAATAGTTTTATGAATTTGAAGAAAATTTATTTGTATAGCTCTTTATATCATTCATTCTTACAGGTCAGTGAGGATAGGTGATTTTTAAATAAACCAAATAGAAAAAGGAAGTATCTCTACAGGGTAGTAACTTGATGCCTCTTCAAAGCAGAAAAGGGAGCTAAATTGAAAGCTGCACCCAAGCGTTTCTGCTACTGACATCACAGTATGGAAATGCAAAGTGTGGTACTTCCATTGAAAGCACATGGCACCTTGCCATTCCAGGTGTGTAGACACTGAGAAGGGACAGTAAAGCTGTATCATTATTTTTGACATCACAGTGTCACTTATGTGCATATCCCAGGCTCATTCCAGATCCAGCATTTAAAACTAGGCTCCTTTGTACATACATTGATTGTGTTTATGAATTTTATGGTCTCTTCTAGTTTTCACACAGAAAATAAACAAGCAATCTAGCTCTCCTTAAGAATTAGGAGGATCTTATCTGGAGAGTGTAGAGACTTTAGTTCATACACGCTTCTCTACAAAGCAGAGCCAGAAGAAACTGACTATTGTGCCTAAAACTCTGTTTATTTTAAAAAATAAGTGCCATTAATATGGGATATCTTATGATAATTATGTGAAATAATGTATGTTAATTAGTTCAATTTAGCTCTTCTACAATGTATACAAATTTTGAAACATGTACATGATAAATGTATATAATTTTTATTTGTCAGTTAAATTTTAGAAATATGGAGTATCTAATTGAAACCTAGAGCAAAACTGTAAAGAGACATATCTGGCATTTGAAAAATGTAGAAGACATGAATGTTATGTAAGAACAAAAAAACATTGAATACTTTATAAACACTATTGTTTTCAAATGGCTTCTTGCCAAAAACTTTTTATCATGTCTCTAAGGAAGCAGATAATTGAAAAACAAACAAAAAATAAAAAAAACTGGGAGTGAGGACAAGGGTTATATAGAAATTTTATTTCAGGAAAAACAAATGTGGCTGAACCCCTGAATTTTTAAGATGTTTACAATGTAAAATCATGTTGTATTTCATAATGTACTTTGTTAAATTACCACCTTCATCAATATTCCCCAAGTCATGAGCAACAGTTATTTTACTTAGGTTAAGACAGTGGAGTAATTTTAATAAAGTGCACAGAACAATGACACCCTCAAAGCCTTATAGGCAGGACTTGTGCATCCTGCTACGAGTACCTCTGCACTAACACACCAGATCTTAATATGGATATAAGGTATTAGATGATGAGGGACTAGCATCTTAATTCTGCTAGCTGATTGTCTCTCTCGTGAAAAGAACCCAGCTACCAAATTGCCTTTTTTCTACACCATAAATCCTAATTAGAAACTTGAGATTTTGTAGAAATCATGTTTAATGATAATAATGACATATGAATTAATGTGAATATCTATCTAAGCTTTAAGTTATAATTAACTCTTCCCTCTCAGATTAACATTTGTAAGTTTCTAGAACAATTATGAAAAGGAATGGAAATTCATCAGCTAGCACTTTCTTTGGTTGCTCTTTGCATCCAATTAAAGTGTATTTTATGAGTAATTTTATGAGTAATCTTAAAAGACTATCTTAATTATAGTGCCCCACTAGGGTAAATTATTTGCCTGTTTTCACAGTTCTGAACTTGGAATGAAGCAAAGCATATGTAACTAATCCACATTTTTTATTGCTTTCTACATGCTAAATTGTATAGAAATTGATGAATGTGGAAGCAATATGTGAATCACAATGTAGCAGAGGCAGACCAGGCATTACATTACTATTTACAGTTGTGCTTCTAGAGCTGGACTGCACCAATTACTTATCCTTGTGCCAAAGGCAAATATTATGTTTGCACCTTTTTTTCTGATTCTCAGGTTGATTAATACTGCTAATGCATATGTGCAAGTAGATGTTCTTTTAAACTACAAAATAGATTCAAGTGATACTTTCTTTTAAAAGTGAAGAGTAAATTCATGAGCTACAGTTGGTTTGTATCAAGAGTTTTTTAAAAAAAGGAAATCTGTTGGATAATGTGTTCACAATATGTTCTTTGACTATTTAGTCTTCCATCTCTTGGTCTTCATTAGCTCATCTTTTAGAAGGGTAGTAAACTAATATGGTCTCCTTTAGATGTAAACATAAAATACGTAGTTTTATTTTGCTCTTCAGTACACTGAATAACGTAAATGATTCAGACACTGATGAGACCCTGTGGCTTATAATGTTGGACAGATTTCCAAGGAAACAATTCTGCCCTGGCTGAAAATATTTACATTCTTGTATTATAGCATAGTTTGGTGACTTTCCTCTTGTGAGATGGTAGGTAGGAGGAAAAAATTAGGATTCGATTGGGGAATCCAATGGAATAAAAATGGGAAAATTCCTTTGTGTTGAAGTAAGAGGCATTTTTCCAAGGAGCAGAGATTCATACTTTCCATTTTCATTGATCATCTTCCCCACCATAATCAACTGATGCCTAGGTTAATTCCCTGATAAGAATTAAATTCCCAAGGCACATGGTAGCATTTAACATAGTACCTGGCACACAGCACTCAGTAAAAGTTTGGTTCTGTTATGGGGTGGTCAAGTTCTGATTTAAGGAAGTTAAAAGAAAAGTATAATCCTATTACTATTTGGGTGTGCCTTGTGCTTCTAAGGATGCAAAGTAGTTATAACTCTAAACCTGCTATACTTGAACATCACACTAAGGGAAGTAACACAAGAAGCTAGCAAAATTCAGAGGCCAAAGTTGTTTCCTAACAGCTTTAACAGTGCTTGTTGATTCTGAATCATCTTTTTAAAAGTGGACCATCTGCCTAACTATTTTAATATCACTTCAATAAAATGTTAGTATTAAAAAGATCAGTTTTATGACATTGAAGAATGTATCTGCTAAAACAGAAAAACTGGTATATATATATATAAATATGTATATTTATACATAAATATACATATATATTTATATATAAAATAGGTGAAGGAAGGGAAGTTGCAGGCTAAATGAAATGTAACTGATTAGAATATTTATTCAGAAGTGGTAACACTCATTTGCCATCCTTGGGTATGTGTATTTGGGCATAGTTATAACATTATCTAGATTTGCAGATACATGCACCTTTCAGTCCTACCCTGTTTACTGTGTAACAATGATAGGCTATTTTCTTTTTGCTGGTGGAACATACTAAGTTGGAATCCACTCTTCTTTGTTGGTGTTCATCAGAACAGTTTCTTACTACTCAGCTCTTCTGCTGAGTTTAAGTTCTGGTACTTCACATAAGCACTGTCAGAAGGTACAAGTGTATTTAATCACTAGTTCTGAGGAGTTTGGGTACATTTGTTTATATATAGAATGTGCAGTGAATTTTTCATTTTTTTCTTTTTAGCGAAACTACTACTCATTTTAGGTCCAATAATTGAATAGACAGTCTACTGTGAGGATGAGATGACATATCTACTGTGAGAATAACAATAATTATTTGAGAACTTTTATACTCAGTGGTGTTTTATATATTAAGATATAATTATATACACATGCATGAACATCACATCTCTCTACTGTGGAGTTAATGTGAATTTTTAAAAAATGGAATTGCAACCACAATCATAGCTAAAAGAACATTCACTCCTAGTGAAGGTTTACAAAAGCCACTAAAAGAATAAAATAAGTAAAAATGCAAAGGGTCACTTGGGGTTTTGTTTTATTTTAAAATTTATAGTGCTACTTTTGAAAGAGAATTGTTTTTATTACTATGCTCTTTTGTGATCAAGAAGTCATCTAATAGCAGTATAGAAGCTACTTTTTTTAATTGCTGGCAAACAGCTTTAAGTGCACTTTCTTTGATTACACTTCCATTTTTTGTTAAACTTGAATTTTCTGAAGCCTTTTATGTACCACTAAGCAAATAACTTTAACCTTTAAAAAACGGATTACATCATTATTGTATTTCTAATAGTTGTAAAACATACTTGCTAAAATAACTTCAGTCCTCAAATGTAGCTGGGAAACTTGTGAGACAGGATTGGTTATCCCTCCTCCCATATCTAATTAAGCACTAACTAACTTTATGACTTTATTGCCTTTATATTGCTTATTCTTGTATTCTGTCCCTGATATACTTTGTTTTGTTTGAAATTTGAAGTTATTTTCTTACTGTATTTATCATACCTCTTTTAATAATCTTCTTTCTTTAAATGCAATAAATTAAAAATGGATTACCTATTCTTTATAATCAGTGACTTTGGAGTTTTTCATTATTGTCTTATTAAAATATTGGATATAAACTTCTATTGAGTTATTTCATTTACACCATGGACCTTTAAACATCTATTGTGTACCAGCAAAATAATATAAAAATAAGACTGTTTTTAAGGAGCCTTTAGGATTTAAGTAAGAAAATACATTTGACCTAAATTTTTTACAATAAAAAGAATATAGCACCATTATTTTAATCACTTACTGACACTTATACTGATGATGATACGGCAGAAACATGAGACCTTGAAAATACCTTTAGGATAACTTGTTTGGCATAGTTTTTACATTATTTCTACTTTTAAAAAAACTATTAAAAGTCTGCTAACATATATAATTGTTAAAAGTCTTTTGAATATTTTGGTCTTTGACTATGTCAGAAAAGCAGTTTTGGAACATTAATGAGGAAAACATGGGGTTGATGAACTAAAGCTTGGTGTCAAGGCTGGGGTATTATAATATAATATCCCCCAAATTGGAGTCTAGATTGGTGGCTTATGACAAGTTTCTCAACCAAAAACAAGATTCATCTTACTTTGTACTTTTTTTTTTTTTGAAGTAGTAACATTCATTTCAAGTTATGTGGGGAAAAAATGGGCTTTTGTATCTTCTTAATAATGCAAAACACCATAGTATAACAAATGAAGAGAAACTTATATTAAAAAGTTTGTATGTATCACTGTTCAAATTGTTATAGTTAACCCCTTATGGTGCAACTTGAACTGTTTGGTTTGAATAATTCCTTTTTCAGGAAGCCGAGCTTAAGCTTCATATGTAGTTAATATTCTCATATTAAAAGTTTGAACTCTTGAAATTGTATTTGTTACATGTTAAAAACATGGCTGGCACAACTGAGAGCACATGCATGCTAGGTAGTGTTTAATCCTACATTTGTAGAGCAAGATGAAGGCTTTTGTGGCTGTTCGTTTCAGGCATGTGAGTATACAAAGATTCACTTTTCATAAGTGGGCCATACTATTTCTATCTCCCTTCAAAAAGTGTTCTTTTAAGGTAGTTTCAATTCTTGATCATTACCTTACTACTGTACAGAAGTATGGTATCAAATTTCAGGGGAGCTCAGTACTCAAGAACATCTATACCTCTCTTCAGTATAAACATGATTATTGTGATAATGCAGATAAAAGATACTTCTGCCTCTCTTCTAATAGCTGAGCTGATTCTTTACACACTTCTTTGGCAGGAATGGAATTAACTAAGAATGATGATTTGGGGTGGATAGGGACGTATTCAGCAACTGGCAGGAATGTAGAAATGCAAGCTTTGCCCCTTGACGGTTAGTACAGGGCAAAGTATATCTCTAGTAGGTACCTGCCAAATGGAGAGCTGTACAGCTTTATGCCAGTCAATCACAATCTTCAAATCGTACACTCTGTCCAGGTGGGATGCCATGTGATGTGACAAGATATTCCCTGATTCTTCATTCCTGATTCTAAAATATGATTTTTAAAGCTGTTATGTATTAAAAAGAATGACAAGCAGCACTTAATATATTTAGTAAACCCAGTTTATTTACATAATACATATTTTACCATGCAGCTTACGAAATTGCACTCAGAGTAATAAACAAAAATAAACCGGCACTATCTTGCTATTTGAAAATGGCTTTATAGAGAAAGATAACTTTCTTAAATGAGTTAACTAAACTATAAAAATTGCTATGGTAACTTAAAAAAAAAAGCTAAAAATAATTTTAAAATATACTTGTAAAGTCTAGATAAAGAGCTTTTATAATTTACACATAGGTAAAAATTAAAAGTAGTCTTTTTTAGTATTGTAGCTGGAAATTATACTTTTAATTAACTAATAACAAAAAATAACATATATACATTATTACAAGGCTCAGATTTCTAGGCAACTTTTAAATATTCTTTAATGTTAACAGTGTCTTAAAACATTTTACCAGTAGTACTGTGCACATAGTAGGTGGTCAGTAAATGCTGACATACATAAGTATTTATAGTTGACAGCAACCCACATTCATGTGAATATTCCTTTACAATAAATACATCATAGTAAAGATAAAAATCAGAGGATAGCTTTCTTACAATATTTAACACTTTCAGAAAACACTTAAGTATTAATAAGGAATAATTCTTCCTATAGACCTGTATGCCCTTTAAATTCAAAGAAATAATCATTTAAAAACAAGATATGCTCTTTTTTAATGTATTAATTTGGGTGGCAAGTATTACATACTTCATACACTATGTTAGATGGGAACTATTTTAAAAATTAAACTTAAAAGGCTATTTTTTAGAATATTATTGGAAAAAAATGATTCCACACCTAAAATAACTGGACTTTCCCCTCGTTTTTAACTTGATGATAACTACACTTAGGGTACTTCATTTGGATGAAATGTCAATTTAGAAGCAGTAGTATTATGTAAGCCAATAAAGGATGTTTTAGGGGAAATATGTCCTATTTACACCAAAATCTCCTATTACTTAGTATATAAATCACACTGTGGTCTATGAGATACTATAGCCATTTTCAAAATAGCATTCCACCATAATAATGAGTATGATATAGCATGCCCTTACTGGGCCCACTAGAAGAAAATTCTCCTTGCTGAAATACCAACATGGAAAATGTATATTCCAAACTCACTACACTGGAAAGGAACAACATTTTACAGATGGATAAACTGAGGCACATTAAAGTAACTTTTCTAATACTGAATGTACAAAAGGCATATTGGGAATAAGATTCAACATCAATGAACATTTTTTTAGATATCCAGTCAGTTCTATCTTGAAAACATAGCAAAAACAGTTTGTCAACTCATTAAGAAATGTTGGTAATAATTTATAGTCTAACAACAATTTTTTATGAATGTCTGCTTTAAGAGATTTAATTTATGCATATGAAATGATCAATGAACGAATGGCAACGACTGTATCAGTAAAACTATTTTTTAAAGTATAAACTGATAAATTTAATGCTTCAAGTCCAAATTGTATTCATTTTTAATTTTTTTGGTATTGGGGATTGAACCCAGGGGCACTCTACCAGTGAGCTATATCTATATCCCCTGTTCTTTTTATTTTGATACAGGGGTCTCACTAAGTTGCTTAGGACCTTGCTAAATTGCTTAGGTTGGTCTCAAACTTGTGATCCACCTGTGTCAGCCTCTCTCTCGAGTTGTTGGGATTACAGACATGCACTGCTGCATCCAGCTTCTAGTCCAAATTTTAGATGGTGAATATAAACATTTTATCAATGCAATGTTAACTTACACATAAGCTGAAGACTAACGCACAGTCCTCATCAAGTGGGGCATCAGCATGACTTTATTCTAAGGCTTAAGGTTCAGTTCAGGGTCAAATCAGGGCCATGTAAATCTTATGGCCTTGAAAGTAGCACCCATATAGCTGGAAGTCCTCATCATCAAATTTCTTTTAGAATTTTGGGATCAAAATCTTCTATAATCCACTCGCAAGAATTCAATTATGATATGGAATTAAATAAACTCTGGAATTAAAAGGCTTGAGTAATGATTTGATTATTAGATCATGGCATTTGTTGCTTAATCATGTCCTTAGTTTCTAATGTGATTCTTCTCTGATAAAAAGTAACATTGCATGTTCATTTCCTCTTCTTAATACCTCCCCTAAAGAAGAATTCTTGTTCTGATGAACTGAAAATTCCTAATGTTTCTAAGGAGAGAACCTGTGGCTAAAGGAAATAATATTTTAAGTGCCAGATTTTCACAAACCATGTATTTAAAGGCTATGATTACTCAAAATCACTATCTTAGCTTGTATTAAACATAGGCTGTAACAAACCTCACCTTGATTAGGCACTTAAATTTGATGATTTAACGAAAATATCTTCTATTAAAGTAATCACACAGGATGACTCCATTTCAAATGGAGATGAGCCCTTCCTAAGGAAATTAAGCTGGTGTCAAGTAAACTGAATCCTATTTCTACAATAGTTTCACATTCATTGTTACCATTCAGATTATTTGTTATGATCGCCAACTAATTCTCATTTTCTATATAAGCAGCAAATTAGTAGTTTTAAGGGTCTACAAAGCAGTTATTACTACAGATCCCTAGGTATATTTTTCCATTTTTATAAAGCATTACCCATGATACCTTAAACAAGAAGAAAAAGATGAAAGGGAACCTTAGAAATAGTGGGGTATACAAGTCCCCATTTTATATTGCTTAACAACTGAATTCACCAGGTGGCCATACCTGAATTCTTCACAAATGTGAAACATAGTCAGGACAAGGCTTGCTATGTCTGTACTGCATGACATATACTGTTGACTGATGCCACCAATATAACATCACTACTGCAAGGATATGCCATATTTGGTGGCTAGATCCGAGGTAGTTTAGTTGTCCTAGAAGGAAGGCAGAAAGAAATTAATACTGATTGTACTATTTTGATATTAAAAGAAAATAAGTTTCTGGGGCTGGGTTGTGGCTCAGTGGTAGAGTGCTTGCCTAGCATGTGTGAGGCACTGGGTTTGATTCTCAGTACCACATAAAAATAAATAACTGACAACTAAAAAAATATTAAAAAAAAAAAGAATTTTCTAATCTTCAGGCTTGGAAATATGGCTTAGCAGCAGAACATTTTTGTTAGCCTCAGTGCCTGGAGATCCAAGTTTTTTTTTTTTTTTTTTTTAAGGATGAACACATATTTGGGTCTAATTTTAAGGTTTTATCAAGAACACAAGTAATTTTTAGAAATGATATTCACAATGTATTTTTAAAAATCTAACTTGTAATTTTCAGGAATTTGACCTTTTGCCTCCCATGTCTCAATTCCTATCTGGTGTAATGGGGRAAAAAAAAAAAACTGAAGAAATGAGGGTTACAAATCAGCGAGTAATTTAGGTATGAATCTGTAAGTAGGAAATGCACTGTTGTGTTTAGATATGAACCTGCTAGGAAATGCACTGTTGTGTTTAGATATGAACCTGCTAGGAAATGCACTGTTGTGTTTAGATATGAACCTGCTAGAAGCACCTCTTTATTTTATGCATGTATTCAAGGAGAAACCTCAGTCCCGAATCTTAATACTCTAATGGAATAATGTGCAAAATTCTGTGGTAGTAATGGGTTAATTAACTAAGGTTGATTAGTTCACATACAATTTCAAAAACAATTTAATTTCTCTTTATGGCTAAATATTAAATTCCATGGAGATTAATAATTAAAATGTGGAAAGCAGAAGAAGAAAACAGAAGAACAGCTATAAAAACAAGTGTAAACTTTCTCTTAATGAGTCTACGGTCCTGTAATGTAACTATTCTCCAACCTCTTCTTATTTTTGTCTTACCAAGAATAACAATTAGTGCAGAACATTAATATTAAAGTGTAAGTCAACCGGATTCTTTCTATATAGGTTCTTGGCTTTTCTTTTCTTTCTTTTTTTTGGGGGGGTGGGGTAGGGCACCAACTTCTTGACTCCTAAAGAAGCTTCTTTTAAAACAGACTCAGTTTTAAAAACCAAATTCAGTCCAAGCAACTTAGTGAGAACCTGACTCAAAATAAAAAGTAAAAATGGCTGGGGATGTGACTCAATGGTAAAGTACCCCTGGGTTCAATCCCCAGTACCAAAGAAAGAAAGAAAGAAACAAACAAACAAAAAGCAAATACAGGGAATTTGAAAAGAAAACTGGTTATCTTGTAATAGTAAACAACAGTACAAGGGATCTATTCAATTCCATTCATGACACCTTGGACATCCTTGGGTCCATCAAATACCACTGTGGTGTTTATGTATTTAAAAAATTTAATGTGAGCTGAATTTAAATTTTTAGGCTTAATTTTTTTTTTAATATCCCATTATTCACCAGCTACACTTCCTCACAGTTCTCTCATACATGAAAGAAGGTACTTATCCCTGAGACTATCACTTTCACCTGTAAAGCCTATAGTGTTTATGGTCTCCATATCTCTACTGCTTTCATGTACCTGCACTAAACTACACATTCAACTTCAAGGGGCACATTTTATATCAAGCTCATTTTGGATAAAAGTTAAGTTACAGAACATTTGATCTTTTGTAGGTTTTCTATATTAGACAATTCTAAAACCTGGACATTGATATTTTAAGGTCTAAAAACACTATAGCCACAATCACATACTGTAAAAAAATTTATAGCTCGATCTTCTACTTGTCTGTGATCAGGAACAGAATTTTTAAAAGAATCATTAACAAAGTTATTAAAAAAATGTATTTTACCAGAATCTGTTTTCTGAGGAAAATTCTGGCCCTGCTTGGAAGATAGTTGATCTTCAATTCAGGAGCATATCCTAGTAATGTTCCCACAGCCTGATGTGTACACACTCAGGCTCTTAGTATTCCCATTCCTATTCAAACCTCAGGGTGAAAAATCAAGTACAGAGGAATGCCTGAGAATCTGTGGTGGATTCATTCTCTATTCCAGGGTTTTTCATATTTTCTCCTTCCCGTCTTTAATTCACTGTGGAAGAGATTCCTAACCTAGGAAGAAGGAGCATTGAGTTTGCAGTTTGGATTTAAACAAATCCTTGTCTTCTGTCTTCCAAATTAAAAAAGAAAAATAAAACACTGTTTTATGTACTATATAAAAGTTGTTCTTGAGTCAAGCTAAGGCTTACCTGGATTTGCATCATTTTGCCTTTCATTAAACTACATATCTCACTTTGAAGACCAAGTTGAGTGATATCATTATACTAATTGCTAGCATTTATTGAGGGCTTACGACATGTTAGGAACTGTGCTGTTTTATGTTCATTTTCTCATCTAATCCTGACAATAACCCCAAATAAGTATTATCCCTGTGTTTCATATAAAGAAACTAGAGCTGTAAAAGTTTAAGTTATTTAGCTCATGCAGCTGATATAGTATTTCCAGGCAATCTGACTCCAGAGATAGAGTGTCAAAACAAATACATATTTTGGAGAATAATCACTCCACCTAGTGTCCTCTCTGTTATTTTCCATCAGAAATAGTTTTCTTTGGACTGAAGAATGTAGAAAACTATCCTTTTCTTAAGTGACTGGCTTATAACTAACTATCTTGGGGACAAACAGACTCATCAATTTTATTATTCTTCTTAGCTCTGGGTAACAGGAAGCAGAAAGTAAAATCACAGATAAGGGGGGACTATTGTTTTATGACCCTCACCACTTATTGGATTCAACTCATACTCTGAGAAAGAGCATGTGAAAGCCCTTTGAAAGGTAGGGCTTTACATAACATTAAGGAATAGAAGAATTACTCTATAATCAAAAATGCTGAAAAATAAATCTCAGTTTTGATTCTGTGAAGCATTTACTGAAAGCTTATACTTAAGAATAAAGCTGCAAAACCTCTGTGAAAGAACACCCACCTGGAAAGTACCGCTCTGGAACTTTGGAGATGTAGAATAGGAAAGCAAGAAGAGCAATCACATACATCACAATTACGCGAGGTGCAAAATCCTGAAAAGTAAAACATGTTTTTTTTTTTCACAGATATTTCTACTTTACTGAAGTCTCAATTTATTATGAATATGATGGTAGAATTTAAGACTGTTCAATCTGAATTGTTGTATAGATAAATCTCCAATAATAAGCCTGATTTTCATTCTTCAGGAAGAAGTCCACAGAAATGGAGCACAGTGGATGCCCTAAAGGTTAGGCTACTAAAAGAGTGAGGGCTTTATGCTGCTGAAGGTCCTAGTGTGTCTGAATTCTCTACAATGTATGCATCTGGGTTGGATACATACGGGAATGGAGTAGTCTCTTGGCTTACTCATTATCAAATGAGTAAACCAAGAGACTACTGACTAGTGACTTATAATCAGAAATGATCTACACAGCTTGGTCTAAGACAAAAATCTTCCAATATCACAGAAAAAAAAAATGGTTCTCTTGGATATCAAGCACTCTATCTTACTGCTCATGCTCTATTAGAAAAGTTTTCCTGGAGAAAAATTGAAAGCATTCCTCTAAGAACTGGAACAAGACAGGCTGTCCTCTTTCACCAATTCTATTCAGCACAGTCCTTGAAACTCTAGCCACAGCAATTAGGCAAAAGGAAGAAATTAAAGGGATACAAATAGGGAAAGAAGAGTTCAAACTATCCCTATCTGCTGATGACATGATTCTGTATTTAAAAGACCCCCCCCCCAAAAAAAATAAAAACTCCACCAGAAAATTTCCAGAACTCATAAATGAATATGGCAAAAAAGCAGGATATATAATTAACACTGACAAATCAATTGCCTTACTAATCACCAATGATGAATTAGCTGAAAGAGAAATAAGGAAAACCATCCCATTCACAACAGCTCAAAAAAAAAAAATACTTGGAATTCAATCTAACAAAAGAAATGAGAGACCTCTACAATGAAAAGTACAGAATATTAAAGAAAGAAATTGAAGAAGACCTTAGAAGATAAACAGCTCTCCCATGTTCTTTGATAAGCAGAATTAATATTGTCAAAATGGCCATATCAAAAGTGCTATACTGATATAATGCAATCCCTATTAAAATTCCAATAATGTTCTTCATAGAAATAGAAAGAGCAGTCACAAAATTCATTTGGAAAAACTAGAGGCCCAGAGTAGCCAAAGCAATCCTTACTGAGAAAATGAAGCAGGATGTACCATAATACCAGATCTAAAATTATACTATAGAGCTATAGTAACAAAAACAGCATAGTATTGCCAAAACAGACATGAAGCCCAATGGAACAGAATAGAAGACACAGAGATAAACCCACAAAAATATTATCTCATGCTAGACAAAGGCACATAAACACACATTAGAGAAAAAAAGAGCCTCTTCAACAGATAGTGCTGGGAAAACTGGAAATCCATATGTAGCAAAATGAAACTGAACCCTTAGCTCACCCTGCACAAAACTCAACTCAATATGGATCAAGGATCTAGGCATTAGACCAGAGACCCTGTACCTACGAGAAGGAAATGTAGGCCCAACTCTCCATCATTTTGGCTTAGGAACTGAATTCTTCAACAAGACTCCTAAAGTGCAAGAAGTAAAACCAAGAATCAATAAATGGAATTGTATCAAACTAAAAAGTTTCTTCACGCAAAGAAAACAATCAAAACCATGAAGACAGAGCCTACAGAATGGGAGAGAAGCTTTGCTACCTGCCCCTCAAATAGAACATTAATCTCAAAGATATATAAAAAACTCCAAAAACTTAACACCAAAACAAACAACAACAACAACAACAACAACAAAAAAAACCAAATGATCCAATCAATAAGTGGGCAAAGAAATTAAGCAGGCACTTCACAGAAAAATAAATACAAATGATCAAAAAAAAAAAAAAAAAGAAGAAGAAATGTTCAACATTCTTCTCTAGCAATTAGAGAAATGCAAATTAAAACTAAACTGAGATTTCATCTCCAGGCACAATGGCAATTATCAAGAAAACAAATAACAATAAATGTAGGTGAGGATGTGGAAGGAAAGGTTCACTCATACATTGCTGGTGGGATTGCAAACTGGTGCAACTACTCTGGAAAGCAGTATGGAGACTCCTCAGAAAACTTGGAATGGAACCACCATTTGACCCAGTTATCCCACTCTTTGGCATATACCCCAAAGGACTTAAAATCAGCACACTACAGTGATGCAGCAACATCAATGTTTATAGCAGCTCAATTCACAATAGCTAAGCTATGAAACCACCTAGGTGCCCTTCAGCAGATGAACAGATAAAGAAAATGTGGTATATATACCCAAGGGAATTTTACTCAGCCATAAAGAAGAATGAAATTATGGCATTTGCTAGTGAATGGATGGAAATGGAGACTATTACACTAAGTGAAATAAACCAATCCCCCCAAACCAAAGGCCCATTGTTCTCTCTGATATGCAGAAGGTTAACACACAATAATGTGGGGGGAGAATAGAAGTCATTGAATTAGGGAAATTAAGGGCAGGAGACAGTATGGGAATAGGATTGACAGTAGAATGAATCCAACATAACTTTGCTATGTTCATATGTGAATACAAGACCACTGTAACTCCACATTATGTATAACCACAATAATGGGATCCTAATTAGAATAAGTTAAACTCCATGCATGCATAATATATCAAAATACATTCTACTGTCATATATTGCTAAAAAGAACAAATATAAAAATAAGTTTTCCTGGCCTTGAGAAAATAGCCAGCTATAACTTATACATATTGTTCTTAATTCTGATTATAAAACAAAGTTACCAAAAATCCATTTGAGGAATAAAAACAAGTTATCTCTCTTCCTAATTCAAATACATACATGAGAATTACCAGATTCCTCAGATTAACTAACCTTAGATTTCTCAAGACTTTCTAGAAAATACAACTTCACCCCACCTCTTAGGATTATCCCTTCTGGAACTTTTCACCTTTTGTAACAACCTCTACAGTTTTTAAATATTAAGGCTTATTAGAGAATTTTCTGAAAGTTTCCCTTTGTTCTCTCACTGGAATGATCCATGATCATATTAGAATTCATCTTTAATAACCATTGTCTTCCTATTTCATATTTCAATTTTAAACTTTTAAACATGAAAAAATTTCTCATTTTTTCCTACATTTCTTTAATATCCATTGAATTAATAGGTCTTGTTTTTTTATTATTATTATAAGCTTAAAAGGATGTGTTCACCACATCCAAATTTTAATTACTTCTATATTAACAAAAGTTATCCATTTGTTGGAACTAAATTTACAGTGGCAGCTTCCTATTCTATTTTCTTATTTTTAAGGTATCAAAACTCTCAGAAAATGTTTTCCCACAGAGAGGATCATTTATATCCTTCATCATTACTATCTCACTGTTCTTACAGTTTCCTAATCTTATGAAGAAAGCATCACCCTTGTCCTCAAATGAACCAGATTAAATCACTTATTTACTGTCATAGAATATTCTTTGTTTTCAGTGTATATCTAAGTGCTTCCTACCATACTGTTGCCAACTTCATGTAAGTGAATGTAAGCCTACTAATAATAGTTTTTCCTCTTCTATTAATGCATGATCCTTACTAATAATGGATTCTTTTGAAAAAAGCCTGCTTTTAAAATCCCACATTCCAGACTAAAGGCCTCAATGCAAAAAATATACATGATTTCTGCCAGCTTCATTTTCTTTTTTCTTTTTTTTCCTTTTGGTACTGGGGATTGAATCCAGCAGTACTTTAACACTGAGTTATATCTTTTTTATTTTTATTTTTTTAATTTTGAGACAGGGTCTTGTTACATTGCTGAGGATTTCACTAAGTTGTAAGGTTGGCCTTTAACTTGTGATCCTCCTGCCTCATCCCCACTTCCAGCTGGCTGGGATTGTAGGTGTCCACTACTGTTCCCAGCATTCTGCCAGCTTTCTTGGTATATGTGCTCATGTAAGAAAATTTCGGTTTTATTCTGTAGCACATACTTGGCATTTTTATATGTATCTCTAAGAATATAAGTCTTATTTCTAATCATAATCTCAAGAATGTTGAGTCTTCACTGAGGTTCTTTCTAATGCATATTAACTATATTCTATAATACCTGATATCAATAGCTCTTCTTTTATTTTGCAAAATATTGCCCTTGGTGAGTTGAATATCCTTCTTTGACTCCAGCAACCAATACGATGATAATTTCCAAATCTTTATCCCTAGTCTCAAACTTGGCCTAAATTCCAGACCCTGTGTCTACCTTCATATCCTATAAATACCTCAAATTCAACAGGTTCAACAACAAAAAAATCCTTTCTAACTCCTCTTTTCCCCACCAAAAATATCAAGTGTTCCTGCTTCTATACTTTGGTTACCACTGGCATTATCACTGATCCAGCAGACAAAGCTAGAAACTTTGAAGTCCTCCACAGATAAGGACTTGGATATTTTACACATTAAAGGTAAGAGAAAGAGAAATAAGAATGTGTTACTTCATAGACATTCAGGAAAAAAAATACTAATTAGACTTTACATATGCTTTTGAATGGTATGCTTATTTATATAGCAGTGAAAATTATGGTGTCAGCATATAATTAAAAATATGCTCTCAAATGACACAAACTCACCCACTACTGATTATATTACTTTCCCCAAAATAAAATTGAAAATTAAAAAAATGAGGACAAATACTGATGACACTTAACGTACCTGTACAATAGGAGCTCCAATTCCTCCATTGAGCCAAACCCAGTGAAGAGTAGGGATTACTCCATATCCCGAAACAGAACAAAAGATGATAGAACGGAGCCTCTGCCATTGCTGTGTGAGGTAATTGGGATGAATCTGAGCAAAGAACACTGCCAGGATCATGGCAAGCACTGTGATCAAGTATACTTGACGCCAGTACTGAAATGAAACAAAATCAAATTTTAATTCTGCTATTAACAATAGTGAAGGCAAAGAGTAATTTTGGCTTATACTTAACACATTCCAAACTACTTGGTACTTTCAATTCCAAACAGGATTATTTATCTTTCTTAAAAAAAATTCATATACCAAACAACTATTAAGTTTCATAGGATGACAAATCAAATTCTCAAGTGAGCTACTGAGACTGCATTTATTCCTACAAAAACATTTCCTGAGTACCTATTACCATGCTAGGCATGGTTAGAAGTCCTATAGAAATGTAGCAGACTATGACACAGACTCTCCCAGTGGATGAGCACATAGACTCTGGGAGGGGCAAATGTAAACAAATGATCATAATTCAATAATAAATATTATAACTGAGTTTCAAACAAAGTTGTAAAACCACTGAAGAGAGAACAATGTTACCTGGGATAAAAATGCTTCACAATGGAGGCAACATCTAAACTAATATTATGTGGGAAGGAGCAGCTCTCAAAGAAAAGGAGCAGCAAGTGCAGCAGGGAAATTTGGAGGAGGCTGAAAGGCAGCAAAGTCAGGCTACAGATTTTGGGCTTTACCATGTCATTCAGGAATAGCAGAGTTCTTTAAGAATGGGATGACAGGGTCATTTTTTCAAATGACATGAGTGTAGAAAACAAAGAAATGATAGGGAGCCTTCTAAACAGACATTAGAGGTTTATTCAAAAAGAAATGAATTCTGTTAAAGAATGAAGATGCGAGCACCAGGCTGAGGAAGCATTTCTGAAATACACTTAAGGTCTTAATGGCTAACTGGATATGTGAGAGAGCAGCCGTGGAAGGCTCCACTCTTTCTATCCTGAAAGGCCAACAGTGGCTTCCATTGATAAAGGAAATGAACAAAGATGTTCCAGGTTTGGGGCATATATGATGAGGAACATGAAAATAGGTTCACTTTAAAATACATTAAGTTTGAAAGGTTTATGGGATATTTAAGTATTTAAGTGAACATTGAAAGCTGGAAATGAAACTCAAAAAGCTAGCATCATATAGGATGTGAGTTCTTAACTTGGCTCCAGGGATCTCTGTAGGGTTATACACCTCCTGATTCACAATTTTGGATTGTTTCTTTAGATGTGTACCCAAATACACCTTCTCCTGGATTGATGGTCCATAATTTTCTGTCTCATTCTGAAAGCAGCCTGTGTTCCTTAAAAGGTAAAGAGCCACTAAAGCAACTGAGTATTTGGAAACGATAAGAAACCAGAAAGAAGCAATTTTTCCTTTATATGATCATGGACTGTGTTAGCTCTATAGCTCTCTTTTTTAGCTTTTCTTTTTTTCTTTTCTTTTTTTTTTTAAAGAGAGAGTGAGAGAGAGAATTTTTTTAATATTTATCTTTTAGTTCTCGGCGGACACAACATCTTTGTATGTGGTGCTGAGGATCGAACCCGGGCCGCACGCATGCCAGGCGAGCGCGCTACCACTTGAGCCACATCCCCAGCCCTTTTTCTAGCTTTTCTGATGTGTCCCACTTTAATGTTTAGGAAGTCAATAGAAAATAGTTTCAGAGAAATATAGAATGAGATAAGCAAACAATTAAAATGATGCATTTTAGTTATCAGCATGCTTCCTCTCTTTTAAGGTATGCAGTTTCATGCAAAATGATTTAAGTTATGAAAACTGGGCAGATATGAACAGAGTTTACTACTAAAATCAATTTGCAAGGTTAATTGAATATATATTTAATTATATGCTTATCTCCCAAAGTCATTAGGCCTAAAAAACAAAAAGCTCACATTTAAAGATTTTTTATTTTATTTTATTTTATTTGGTGCTGGGGATCAAACCCAGGGAGATTTRTGCATTGAGCTACATTCCTAGCCTGTGGCTCATGTTTAAATGTGTTTAAATGGATGCAATTATTAATGCTCTTTTATTCAAACCTAATATATGACTTTTCCCTTTACTAGTTTTATATACTAAATATGTTGATAGTTTGCTCTGCCATCATACAGATTTAAGAATCCCAAAAAGTAAGAGGAATTCTGTCCTGCAGCCAATCTTTCTCAATAAGCCACAGCTTAGAGCACCATGTGTGGAGGGTGCCTTGGGAAGGCCAGTCTCTATTCCTTGTGAAAAGGACTAAAACTACCCTGTAAACATATTGCTCTTAAGGGAGAAGTGTAATCTTCTGCTGAAAAGCAGGTAACAAAAAGGACAAAAGAAAAAAAAATCAAAGAATATGATAGGAACAAGAAAGAAAAAGAGTAGAGTCAGTGGGGACTTTCTGAATGGGAGAGTTTGAGATGTGGTGAGCTCATGGCTCAGTTTGCCTTTGGGCAGGTGATGGGTTAGAGGTTATATTCTTTTAAAGTTTGACTTGGCAACATTTTTAGGATAGGTGCTATACTATCTGAACAGTTTTGCAAATATTGCTTTGCATAAGACAAAACTGAGTTTTAGGACCTTAGGGACAGAAAGCAGAGTTGATCCAGAACTTGGAACAGACATATCTTATAGTTGTTAAAGACCCTCACAACACATGGGGTCTGTTTTTAGGTCTACTATGCAATAGAGGACTGAGAAAGGAAAACATATTTATTATAGAAGAACATGCATCAAGACATGCACAGATATATCTTTTCTTTTTTTCAGTGAATGAGAAATAAAGTATGAAGGGAAATGGAAAGTGGAAACCAACTTCATTATTTTATCAAAAGCTAACTTCATTTAACTTCAATTCTATAAACACAAAAATTAAAGATATGCAATGTGCATATATAAGTAACCATATACCCATATGAATATAATTAATAATTCAATGTCTACAGTAAGCTTCAGAGATAACTTCAAATATATATATTTTCCAGTGGAAAAGGAGTGAAATAAGTGTGGAACTAGTAATAGATGTTAGAGACCACAGGTGCCTTTTGAAAAATAAGTTTATGCCTACACAAGACTCTTCTGTTTATTCTGTAAGTAGTTACTTATTCAGAAATTCAAAGGAACCACTGCAAGAAAACCTGAGACCTACATGAAAAGTAGAATGTGAAATGTTTTAAGCTACTTACATTATTACAATAAAATGCATAAAATACTCCTGAGACATAGCAGCCCAGTATTCCAATAGAAATTCCTGCATAATCTAATGCCATCCATCTTCGACAGGTTTTTTCTGACCGATGACAAGAAAAAAGATGATATCCCACAGAGCAAAGCATACAGACCTATGGAAAATAAAAAGAAATCTTAACAAAATGAAACAAAAATAAACTAAAGTAATTCATGCATGATATTCAGGGAATTGGTTAAGGATACAGGCTTTCAGCTTTATCAACTTAGCAAGGCCCTAAGCAATTTAGTGAAACCCTGTCTCAAAATAAAAAATAAAAGGAGCTTGATATGTAGCTCTGTAGCTCAGTGGTAACACACCCCTGGGTTCAATCCCTTGTACCCTCGCCCCCTCCCCAAAGTGCAGGCTTTTAAGACAGTGTAGGCTTTCAAGTCAAATACATCTTGCCTTGGATTCTAGCTCTGTGCTTACAGTAGGGCAAGACATGTCTTTTCTCTAAACCCCAATTCCCTCATGTGTAAAATGGGGATAAGAATCACAAAAAAGGAAATTTAAAATGATAGCTATTTTATATAAAAATTATGAACAACTTTTTATATAACAATTATAAACAGAAGTAGGGAAATTACACAATACAAATGTTTTTAAAAAATCACATGAGGGTATTTTGTTCTATGAATAAGTTTAAAGAATGAGTTTAAAGAAGCAATATGTGTCCTTAAGAAAATCAAAGAATATAGAACTGTACAATGTAAAAAATATAAGCCCTTCCCACTCAATTTATTCCCCAAAGGTAGCCACTGATAACATTTGTTATATATCCTTCCACTTATTTTCAATATATATGCCCAAAAACTGTGAATAGAAGTCTGCAGCCTAGGGATGTAGCTCAGTTTTAAAGCACTTGCCTAGCATGCTCAAGGTCCTTAGGTCAATACCCAACAACTACTTTCCCCATCCCCCAAAAGGGAAAAAAGCCTGCAAATACAAAATATACACTTTTAAAAATTAATCAAATGGACTCACACTATATGATCTGTTCTGCAACTTGCTTTTTTTTTTTTTTTTTTTTTTTTACTTAAAACTTCATGGGCATAAAAGATGCACTGTATAAAGTTTACTTTTAAATTCTAAGGTAAACATGGCTTTATTGTCCCCAAATATAATAAATCATGGCTTGATGATTATAAAGATAAAACCTCTATTCTTGAAAAGATTTTTTAGAAACAAGTAAAGAAGTAGTGCTATAAGAAGTTATATAGGAAAAGTCAGCAAACCATAATTAGAAAATTGAGGAGGGTATTTGTGAGTGTATCTGTGCATTGTGGGGTGGTACAAGAGGGAGGAAAGGTGAATTACAGAAGAACTATCACCCCTGTAGAAGCTAGAGTTCAGCTGATACTCATCAGGAACATACAAGAAGACATGCACAGGTTTATTGGGGGTCCACAAAAAAAAAATGACATAATGAAAAATATAGAACCATTAAAGAATGTCCTGTCTTTATTCATTCATGATTATGACAAGTCCTACACATCAAGGAGTTTCAACTTCAAAATTATGGAACAGGTGATACTTTAGAAGATTTTATATGTCCCCTCTTACATGGTGTAGATTAGAGAGGCAAAGGGGAGAGGTTACCTCAGAGAGCAATAACAAAAGAGCCTATACTAAGTCAATGGGGGTGTGTATGCAGAAAATGGGACAATAAACATTATACTTAGTCACAATTTCATTTCTTCATCTACTGTCTAAAATCCTTACTGGTCTATGGTTTTTGGCTACTAAGTTACCAAGCAGAGTTTACTATCCCAATTAAACATAACTTTAAAGGTTGATAGTTTTCTAAGATTAGGCTTGTGGTGTGTATTCTCATTGATAGGGAAAAATCTCATTGTCATAGTGTAGAATGATACAAGAATTGGATACAAATCAGGAAGCAGAGATAATCTAGGCATGGAATTAGGTAGACATGTAGATGAGCAAGCAGTAGGTAGCTGTCAAGTAGAAATGCATACACAAATGTATGGATGAATTTTAACCAAAATGTCAAGTGTGACTTTTACTTTCTTCCACAGGCTTTTTTGTTTGCTTGAATTTCTATGTAAATATATACATATAGGAAAAATAAGAAACAATAATAAAGCTCATTCAATTGTCGCAAAGAAAGTTAAAGAGGAAAACTATGCATCAAAGAGGGAGGGAAGTAATGTTAATAGATATCACAAGTTTTTAAAAAGTTAGCCGATGTTTAATGTGCCCTATTTTAAAAGGAATATGTTATTGTTAAGAGTTCCTTTAAAAATGAAAAAAAAATTGGCAAAGTGGGTATGTTTCAGTTATCACAGAAAGTTTCTATGGGATACCAAAGGCATACAATTATAGTGTTCAATAATACTATTGAAGATTTTAAGTGCCCCCTTACAAGATGAGGACTAGATAGGCTGAGGTGGGAGATTACAGAAATAACCATGGGAACAAGGCCACTGACAGTGGGGGCAGTACATCTAAGCTCATTGGCTTGATAACAAAGTACCTCATGATCTGGCTTCTTCCTGCACATCTTTCCTACCCTTACCTTTTTTGGTTCTTCCAGGATTCAAACATAAAGACTAACATCTGCAAGCCCAGGAAGTGCTAAACTGTCTCTCGCTTTTGGGCTTTTACATAGCATTTATTCTGCTTAATGCCCTGCCTTACTTTCTTTCTGCACTCCTTCTACATGAGTGCCATGGTCTTATAACATTTTGGTCCTCTGCTCAGCATTGCATCACCACTACCTAGTATAGGGCCTAGAAGTATAAAGGAGGCATTCAGCAAATATTTGTTGAACTGAATATAAATGAACTGAATTTGGGGAAAGGCATTCTCAGATTCCACTCTTCTCCAAAATAAAATGTACTCTATAAATCTGGTTGGGAAGAAAGCACTGCGCAAAAAGAGTGAATAGAGGTGAGAAAAAAAAAAAAAAAGTCATGTCTTTTAAAAATTAAATGTAAGTCAATATTCATGAACAGATTTATGGTTTACTGTGCTGCCTGCTGATCCGACGAATCCGAAAAACTCGGGTGAACAAGTTAATTAAAATTTTATAATTAAAAAAAAAAGTGCTCTTCTTGTAGGGAAGATGTGTTCATTTTTCTTAAGCAGGTTGTACACCATGTAATAGATATATGCAGTAGCAGTTAGAACACGATTTTACTGATTTCCATCTGAATAATCCTAGGCAAGTTACTATAATACTTTGAGTCTATCTTTTCTTGGGCAGTTGTTACAGTTATTTAACCCTTATAGTTTTACAATATATTGTTTTCTCGGGCCAAAATGGAAATTAATATGTATTCTCTTAACTAATATCAGGTGTGGAAGGTGGTGAAGGGATAAAGGACAGGCCTGGAGTAGAGGGAAACACAAGGGATTCTCAAAGTAGATGATATTTATACAACTAACTGTAGATTACAAACCATTTTATACTTACTTATAATCATTAAGAGCACCTTAATTATGTTAACTTAAATTTTAAAATGTTAGCTATAAAGAATTTGACTCATTTCCATTATGAAACTGGAAATGGATCCCCAGAGGTATTTTGAATCTAATCAGGACAAAAACTAAACCTCAGAAAGAGTATAATTTAAAAAATATTTTTTAAAAAATTGATTTTTAATCATACAAAAATAATGAGTACTTTTTTCCTCAAAGAAATTTGTTCTAGAAACTGCAATTAGAAAAAAAGGGGGAGTATTTCTGATGATGAAGTCTGGAATATAATGACATGCTATAAAAAATTCGGACAGTTGACTTACAGGTTCACCTCTCAAATAGCAGCAACAGGTTAACTGTACAAAGTTCTGTCTGCTTTTGTCAGGATGAAAGGGGATGATTTTTTTTTTTTTAAGATTTTTTTTTTTTTTTAAAGAGAGAGTGAGAGAGGAGAGAGAGAGAGAGAAGAATTTTTAATATTTATTTTCTAGTTCTCGGCGGACACAACATCTTTGTTGGTATGTGGTGCTGAGGATCGAACCCGGGCCGCACGCATGCCAGGCGAGCGCGCTACCGCTGAGCCACATCTCCAGCCCCATGGGGATGATTTTTTTTTAATTTTCATGTTTTTTGGTATTCTCTGTATTTTTTAAAAATTTAAAATGCCAATAGGACTATAGCCCATATTTGTTTCCTGCTTTAAAATGATATGTTTGAAAAAATCTACTGAATGTAATTTTTAAAGGCATTTTTATAAATCCTTGAAAACAAATGCAAATGCAATGGAATTACTCTGAGAGGCAGAGAGGAACAGAAACTGAAAGTATCTGAAACCAGGCAAGTATAAAAGGATCAAAGGAAATTAAAATTAAAGCAACAGAACATAAGACCAATACCAGAAAAACAAGACAGTAAAATAAAAGCAGAATGAAAAGTAAAGGTATGAAAAATCACAGGTATATTACAAATACGAAAAAGTTAAGAAATTTTCCCAAACAGGTTTTGAGTTGACATTAGTGATCCACTCAATCTGACAGTAAGAGTACAATAAGACATTCATAATCTTATAGCAGAGATGTCTAAAATGATAAAGAGGAGAGAAACAATTTTTTTTCAATCTTTGAAACAGTGAATTTCAAATATACTCCCATAACATACAAATACATGATAATAACAGGCTTTTTTGGTGTTCATTTTATGAAAGAAAATAAGCTGACCCATTTGCCATTTTGGGAGCTCTTCAAAGCAAGTGGTGAGCCACATGTATAAGCCTGCCTGATGAAAGTTCTCTTCACAAGTAACAGTGTTTGTGAAGTGACTTACCTGGAAGCAGAAAAGACAAATAGAACAAATTACAAAATCTTCTCTGGATGCACTTGCCGAAGGTAACACAGACGTCATATCATATATTCCCAGGGTGAAGAAGAGAAAGAAACCCAGCAAATGACTCCAGATGTTTACCGTCTCATTAGATAAAATAAACAAACTGGAAAGTAAACAAACATGCAGCTCAGATTCATACTGGCTCACTTAACTGTCAGCACTCAAAGGTCAGGGAAAATTTGGAGGAGTTACCTAATAATTGCTACTTTAAGATCTTAACCCCATCTGTACCATTTAAAATTTGATATGTCATTTAATTAGTCTTTAAGTTTTTCCAAATTTCCACCAATCCTAGCACCTTAACAGTTTTTGTTTGTTTGTTTGATTTTGGTGCTTAACTCTATTATCATAGTTACAATTTCCTTCCATTACAGTGATTCACATGTAAATTCCTCAGCCTATCAGCTCCCTGAGGGCCTGTACCATACATCTCTCCATTAATCTACAAGACACCATTTTTTCTAAGCAGAGTGCCTTGCTCCCATCATTCACTAATGAGTTTGCAGATAAAACATTTTCAAAGAACACAAATAGTATGCATATTTTGAGTAAACTCCTATTGTTAGTTTAGGAGTTTACTCAAAATTTAGCTAGAACACTGACTTTCAATAATCAGTATCTGAAAACCAAAGACTGAATGTTCTTTGATATGCGGATGCTAACTCACAATAAGGGAGGGTGGAGAGAAGAAGTTCAGCAGATTAGACAAAAGGAGAATGAATAAATGGAAGGGAGGGAGATGGAATAGGAAAGATAGTAGAATGAATCAGATAACTTTCCTATGTTCATATATGAATACATGACCAGTGTAACTACACACCATGCACCACCACAAAAATGAGAAGTTATACTCCATCTATGTTTGATGTGTCAAAATACTTTCTACTGTCATGTATAACTAAATAAAATAAAATTTTTTAAAAAGAACAGTATCTGAAAAGCTGATACCTTTTTAAGGGCTGGGGATGTAGCTCAGTTGGTAGAGCGCTTGCCTCATATGCACAAAGCCCTAGGTTTAATCCCTAGCACCAAAAAAAAAAAAAAAAAAAAAAAAACTGCAACAAAACAACAACAAAACCTTTCTAAATACTCATTAAATACAAATACAAAGTTAAATAGACCTAGAGAAGCAGAATAAATACAAACTGAGCCATTGGAAAGGTTCCTGAAGAAGTTGCTGGAACAACTCTGCTATAGATGTTTTGAAACCAGACTAGTTTCCAGATAACATGTATTTATCCTTTTCAGGAACAATAGGAGTTTATTCAAAATATGCATACTATTTGTGTTCTTTGAAAATGTCTTGATAACTGTCTGGTTTTAGGTACATGATGGTGGAAAAGGTACCCTTCCTACAGAAGTCAAAAGGCTCATTGTTTCCTTCCCATCCCAGCCACAAATTAGCTCTGCAATCATGAACAAGTCACTTTGAAATTTCTGGGCTTCAGTTTCTTCACCTATGAAACCAAGGATGCAACTTCCTTCTAGTTCCTTCCTTAGTTTCATGAAATGGATCTTCAGATATAGACAAGACTCATCTGATTTACAGGGAGGTGATATAATGACTAAAGATTAAAATATTCTTTGCATTGCTCTAGCAAAATATTATCTTTCTGCTTAAGTGAGGTCTTGATGGTCACTGGTCCAGAAATTCTTATTAGTAAGTATTAATGTATCACTCTTACTGAATTTGCAACAGTTACCATGGCTCTTCTTAACTTTTCCATTGTTATAAGTGATAAGCACTGCAAGGTCTCAAACTATCAAATGATCATCAAGAATAAAGTGAAAATTTATTCTTAGACTTTATCTAGAACAGCATCTACTTTAAAGACTACTTGGGGAGGGGAATGAAGGAATGATTTAGAAAACATCTAATTTACAGTACTGTTCTGATAATCAATACTACACTCTGCTTTTTTCTTAAGAATTTTTTTATTTTGTAAAACCCAGTATACCTCGATTAACTAGACACGGTTTTTCCATGTTCCTCCCAACTAAAAGAATATTAGCAGAACTGTTAGGATATATAAAACCTCTTCTTATATCCAAAATATGTCCTGGTCACTCTTGAAAGCTGAAAGAAAAGAGGGCAAAGGATAAACCTGGAAAAGATCAAGCTGGTGGGAAGAACATTTAGAAGAATATCCCCAATAGAGGATCTACTATTATTACATGAAAAATTAAGCACCCCCATACTCTACTTCAAAATCAATAATCATCTTCATTACCTTTATCTGTTCAAAATCACAGATGACAATATCACCATCTACTGAGTGCTTCCTAGGTACCAGACCCTGTGTAGCATTTTACATATATAATTACATCTAATTTCTATTACCCCCAAATCAGATATTTTTATTACCCTCATTTTACAAGTAGAGAAAATAAGGCAAAGTGATTTTACCTTTTGCACAAAGTCCCACAGCTATTAATTGGCAGTTTGAGATACTCAAGTTTTTCTGACTCAACAGCACAAGATCTAATGTTTTATACTTCATTTCCCCTCCATGAGATTTGGGTTCTAAACATCAAAATACTGAGGACAAATGCCAGATGGGTTTAAAACGTTTTAAGACAGTTCACTGCCTGCCCTATCTTCACAGAACTCCACATCCTAAGCAGGTTCAGCTCTAATTTCTCATGTAATCACTCATGCACAAGAGGCACTGAGAAGTGAAATAATAATTAGGATTCACAATATGAAGTCCTGTTAGCCATCCATTCAAGCTACAGGGCTGGACAATGATGTCACCTTGTGACTGTGAGTCACAAAAAACACTTTCAAGGCAGGACAAAAGGAAATAAGGATGGAGGATGACCATGCTGGAAAGATCAAGAATCAAACTGTGGTAGATGCTTGAGCTGTTCAAGAGTCCACATTCCAGCACTGGGGTTTGCCACTACAATGATCTGGAGCTCATCTGTAACTACAGTTGGGATTCTATATTTTAGTACACACAGAGAATTTTGACAGAAAGGTATTCTAAAAACTAGAAGAGCAATTTTTCAGATTCTTTTCAGGCTTTCAAGGGAAACTGATTTTAAAGGTTTGGAATGACAAATTGCTTTCTTAGAAATGCTTCTAAGGTCCTCTACTGGAGCCCCATTAGAGCTCTCTTTGCTACAGTGCTTTTCCTATACAGCATTTTCCACAATGGCTATTATGTAATAGTGTAATTATCTCTTTAATGTATGTAACCCAGACTAGACTTTAGTAGCCTGGTGAGAACAAGAGCTACATCTCCTGTTTTCTGAAGGATCTGCTACAATGTCTAGTTTCTAGCAGGGGTTCCAAAAGTGTTTGCTTAATGAGCGAATTAGGGCTTTCTAAATATATATGTATGGCAATGTGAACTTGTTTCCTATTATACAAGTATTTTAGCTGGCCTCAAACCATCTGAATTTCCACAGGGCTGCTCTAAAGTGAAACAAAGCTTAGGTATACATAGAGCAAATAATGGCTCAGCCATTGTCAGTGTGGTCGATTCCAACATGTATCCCAATGAGCACCAAATGAAATCAAGGATGTAAAAGCACTCTGTAAACAGTGAAGCGCCACAGAGAGTTGGCAATTATGATCACTGTTACTATCATTATTACTCCTTGTATAAAATATCCCGACAGGGTTGGAGGGGAGAGAAGGAGGCAGAAAAGAGATGACAGAATGGGGTGGCGAAGAAATGCTGGGCACGGAGCAAAGCCGGGAAAGCAGGGAAGACACTAAACAAAAAGGGTGTAGGTGAGAGGAGGGGGTCACACTGTACCTTTTGATACACAGCCTGGAGGGCAGGTAGGCCCGGTAGCCGTCGGTGATATACGGGTTATCCTTGAGCGACACCGGGATCTGCTCGAAGGTGTAGAGGCGAATACCGCGGGGCACCAGGACCGGCCAGTACTGGTAGCTGCCCAGCTCGATGTAATGTGCGCTCTTCAGCAGCTTCTGATGCATGGTTCCCGGCCACCGCCGCTCGCGCCTCGGGAGCTCGCCCAGGCCCCGCCTCCCCGGGGAGGGGGCTTCGCCTCTGGAGCCCCCGCCCCGGAGCCCGCGGACCGCGCGCGAGGTCCTAAGGCGCCGCCACTGCCCAGGCCCGGCTCGGCTCACAGACCCGCCGCCGCAATCAGCGCCGCGGACCCGCCGGCGTCGCGGCCCTCTCTGACGTCAGCACGCCGCGCGGCCCCGCCCCTCGGCCTGGTGGCCCACGGGTTGCGCTCGGACGCCGGCGAGCGCCGTGTTGGGGCGGTGCGCTGGCCCTTCCCCGCAGGTGAGGGGAGGTGGAAGCGCCGTGCTGTAGGGAATACTAGTAGTTTTCTTCATTTTCTGTTTTTAATTAGAAGCAGTAGTAGCTATATTTTGAGTATCAAGGGGAAAAGAGGTAACAGAAAAATAATAACTACAGTTGATTCACCCCTGGCTGGTTTATGCCTTGAAAAACACGCGCGCTCACGTGTACACACACACACACACACACACACACACACACACACACACACACATGGCACCGTTGAGGTTTTCTAAACTACTACCAGTACTGAGTAGTTGGAGATAGAGGAAACTTGATGCACATGTAATACGAACCTAAACCAGCCCCAACACTTTCAGGGACACCATTCCGAGAGTGTGTGCTCTGACAGGAAAGACGTTCCCAAAGGGAGGTGCCCTCACCTCAGGCCCTAAGGGTTCTTGAGGTCCTTAAAGTTCGGTTGAAGGGAGGCACAGATTGGTTTTATTGAGAGAAAGCAAGAAGTACAGCCTCTGAGAGGGCATTGGAGAGGAACAAATCAGTTTCACCTTAGCAAGGCATATTTATATATGTAATATCTATAATATAGAGACATAAGAAGGTAATTTTAGTCCTGTGTTGGTGATTTTGATTTTTCAGATAAGGAAGGTCATACCTGAGATAAGATCTTACCGGAGATAGCAGTTGTGTTCTTGGCTCTTGTGCCCTTGCATGAGAGGATTTCAAGCAGGACAGTATAGTAAAGTTTATTAGGGGAAAGGAAGTAGGGAGAAAGGACACTCAAGGGAGAGACTGGGTCCTTTCAGAGAGGATCCACTTTGTGTCCCAGCTTTTATTGGGGTAGGAGGGAGATTGTTGGCAGATCCTACCCAAGTTATCACCCCTGGGCTCTGGACTGACAGACATAAGCTAACAACCACCTTGTGGGCAACTCTTGGTCATCTTGGCCTGACAAGTTTTAATTGGAACTGGTTTTACAGAATTTATGGGGAGTGGGCGCTGTTCTTAATCATCCTGCTTTTCCAAGTCTGGTAATCTCTGGTCTATGTTGTTTCCACAGGCTCTTGGATATTGTAACCATTAGGTCCTTTTGAGCATATCCTTGTTCTTCGGTTCTTAACCCCTGAATTTATCTATCTTCCTATGGTTGTAAGAGGAGTAGTTTTTAGGGCTGAGATAAGGCCAGAGTTCTGAAATAGTTATCTTGTCAGATCTTGCAGCAGCGGTGAGTCAGAGCTGTTTTTGATTAACCTATTTGCTCTGTACCAAGTATTTTCTTAAACCCCTGACCCAGTAATCATGTCTACCTGCAATCTAACAATTCAACATGTTAATCATTACCTATTAGAGCTTATTTTCCTTTAATTTTTTAATGAAAAATCTATTGATTTCCCCATTAAGGGGCTTTGTGAATTTAAAAAGTACTACATTGGTGTAACATTGAGAGTTTGATTGTAAGAATGTTATGTAGATGAGTAATCAAAACCTGAATATAAATTGCAGAGAAGTCTATTTGTTGAGTAAAAGTATTCTTGGATCTGTTTGTCTTTTGGGTCCAGGTCAGGAGAGAGGTTATTTATGGACCTGTGGATAAGGTCTAAAAATTGATTTAATTAGTGTTGTTTGTGATCAAAGTATGGAGAAGTGGACTTTAAATGGAGACTTTAAAGCATGTGAAAGTGGACTTTAAATATGAACTTTAAATAATGACTTGTCCCACATGTCTTCTTTCTTCCTGTCCTGTCTTCTCTCCTACCTCATGACCACAATAGAATTAAACTAGAAACAGGAGAAATTTTTAATTGAAATAGTATACCAAGTATGTGGACTGAAGAAATCACAATGAAATAAGAAAAATCTATGTAAGTGAATGATAATAAAGGTAAAACATCAAAAGCCTGCAGGGCACAGCTATTGCAGTGCTTTAGAAGAAAAATTATAACTTTGTTTTTGGCTAGAATTGTAATACAAATGTTTAACCATAATGGCAGCAGGGAGAAATATGATTTGTATGTTAAGCCCTTATCCCATTTTTTGGCATTATAAAGGAAAAATAGAAGTATCTTTTCCTCATCCATTGCAAAGTTTATGGCTGACAACCCTGTTTTTTAAAAAAGGGATTAACAAGAGAAAAGCATAGCAAATTTATTTACCAAAGTTTTATGCAATAGGGGAGTCACATAAATGAATTCCTAAAGATTCAGGAATAACTGTATTTTTATGCTAAGTCTTATATTAAAAAAAAAAGAGTGGCTAGCTGTAAAGAAACATCATTAGGAAAAAGGGACATGATCTGGTTCCCAATACATTGAATGGGAAACCCAGCAAGACCTCAGATTATTCTTGGTCTTTGGGTATAGGGCAGGAGTTTTCTGGAATGGGGGACCTGTGACCTATTTTTAGGTAGGGTAGGTAGATCAGAGAATTCCTTTATGATCATGTTTCACACAGAAAAGGGAAGATCAGGAAGTGACCTTTCTAAGTTTTATGGCCTGTTTTAGAGGAATTCTGACTTCTATTACCTGCCTCAGTGGGAAGAAATTCTAGTTTCTATGACCCAAGTGAGGAGAATGGGAGAAGGAAAAAGGAAGACAGGAGAGATCTTGTTTGGGGGACTACTTAGTTTTTGCAATTCGAAGAACCAGCATGCCACAACAATGTATTTTGGGTGTTGTGTTCTGAATCCCCAATAGCATAAAATAACCATTCATGATATTTATTATTTATTTATTATCATGTTAATGATATTTGTTAATTTTTGAGAAGCATTATGGCTTAGTGGTTAAGATTTTGAGCTTTGAAGCTATACTATCTGAGTTTGAATTTCTATTTAGTCATTTGCTAGCTTAATGTGTCCTTGTGCAAGTTACTTAATCTAAGTTTTCTTATTGATAAAATAGGGATAAAATAGTACTTTGTTTTATGAGATTAAAGGAATAAACCCATGTGAGACTCTTAGAAAAGTTCCAATCATATTGTCAGTACTCAACAAAAGTTTACAAAGAGTTCAATGAAAAATAAAATTAATAGAGAAAACTGGAAAGGCAAATTGAGATATATTCTAAATGGATTTAAATGTCATATAAAAGAAGTGAGACTTATTCTTTAAGTCACAAAGCAAAAATTTGAGATCTCACTATGTTCCTCGTACATTATCTCTGCTGAAGATTATTCTGTATAGAATTCTTGTTTCCTAGTGGAACAAAATCGTGTCTGAGCATTCCTGCCAGCCACTCTTACAGACTCATTATGGGAAGTAACTTCTGAATGTATTCTTATTGATACTTCATGATACTACCTTGTGACCAATGATACCCAAAGATGAGCCAATAACCCACAAGATATCCTGCCTCAAATGCTTATACAAGAAAAATGGTAATTGGTTTGATCAATCAGGTCTTTCTGGTGACTTTGAGTTGGAGATATGGGAAGAGAATCTATAGGTTCGCATTTGAATTGCAAATTGAAAAATGCCCAGAGATTATCAGATAGAGACAAAGTAGCTTAGTTATGGTAAGATGGGACACTAGGTTAAAAAACTAAAAATGAGAGCAGTTTTTATTTCAACAATGTACCCAAGAAGCCTATTGTAACATGACTTTTGGATTGATTTCAATAATTTACAGCCCATTTCATTTCTCCTTGTTACATTTAATCTTTAAATTAAGCATTCTTTATCACCCACACTTAAAATAATTATTAATGAAATGCATGGATAAATGTGAAAAGATAGAGCAACAATCCATGTCTGAATTTTAGAGTGAGAAAGAGGTCAATGAACAGAATGAACTTTTCCCGCTCAGGTCTGTAAGACAGTAGAGGCATGAGCAACACTGCTTTGGGGGCACTTCTACATAGGATAGCAAAGAAATGAGAGCCCGAATTCCCCATAGATAACAATGTAATTGTGGCACTTCGGAGGGTATGACTGTTCATTCATTGTACTTTAAAAAAGTCTTGAGTAGCATTCCTGATGACATACATGGTAGAACACCAGCACCTGTTTGATAGGTGGGGGATCAACAGTGGCATCCAGCAGGAGATCTTGGTCCCTTTTGAAGTGGCAGGATGAGGAACTGAACTGTCCAGTAAGAGAAACGGCAGAATGGAAAAATGGCATCATCCTATGATGAACACTTTGGGAGTCACATCTGGGTTTTAAATGTGCTTCAGGTGGTGAGGTGGCATGGGGAGGAAATTCTCAAGGAAATGGAGGTCCTGTATTTCTAAGAGCCAGGGAAATTTGAATTTTTGCTGCTGCTGGGAGCAGTCCTTATCCCACAAGCATATGAGGGTTGTGGAAACCTCAGTATGTCTTGTTTTATACTACGATTTTCAGTGAGACTCTGATAGACATGGAGGCAGCATGCATGCATCATTTAACATAGGAAAGATCCCTTCTTCCCTTTCTTGAATATCCTTTCTGCCTTGATATAGCTCTAACAATGTGAGAGTGAGACTTATGCTTATTAAAATGGACACAACATGAACTTTACATTTATTGAGTTCTGATTATATGCCACCATCTTGTCACGTTGATTGCTCCTCCATTAAACTCTCTTTTTTGAACTCTTAGAACCATCCTTACCTGGATGTTTTTCCTTATCTCTCTGGCCTCTCCATCCAGGTGACTTTAGTAGGTGCTGTTTCTCTTTTTAATTTGTAAGGCAGGATTTTTTTTTAGATTCTTTCTTTGGTTTCTTAAAATTATATTTTTACTCTATATATTTTCACAGCTTCACTTACTATCATTAAAATGAAGACTCCCAAATCTATATTTTCATACCAAATCTCTTTTCTGTGTATCTGAATTCACTTATAGGAACTAGACATTGAAACCTGAAATGTTGAAAATCAATTCATTTTTTTTACCTCTATGATCTGTTTTCCAGGGCTG